GGCCGGGCCGAGCGCAACGAGGAGGGGGCGTCGGCTCCGCAGCCAGCGCGCCTGCCCGACCGGTGGCAGCGACGACAACGACGGAGAAGCTCGGGCGGCGAGCAGGCGGAGGAGGAGGAGGAGGGGCGGGGGGGGGCCCGGCCGGGGGGGGCGGGGGCGGGGAGGGGGGGAGGCGGGCGCTGAGGCGGGGCCGGGCCGAGCGCAACGAGGAGGGGGCGTCGGCTCCGCAGCCAGCGCGCCTGCCCGACCGGTGGCAGCGACGACAACGACGGAGAAGCTCGGGCGGCGAGCAGGCGGAGGAGGAGGAGGAGGGGCGGGGGGTCTCCGGGCCGGGACGGCCGGGCCCCATGGGCGGGTGTGTGGGCTCTCACCACGACTCTTCGGGCAGCCTGAATGAGAACTCGGACGGCACTGGAGGTGAGAGCGGCGGAGGGGCTGGGCTGTTCTTGGCCGAGGCGAGCAGAGGCAGCTGCTTCTCACAATGAGGGAAACCGGGAGGGGCCCTCGGCGGCCGTCTCCTCCTCTTCTCCTCCCCCATTCGGGAGACTTGCCCGTCTGTCCTGCCTTCCTCCGCCTGGAGAGAGCGCCCCGCTTCCTGGAAGTGGTCCTCCTCCTCCTCCTCTTCTTCCTCCTTCCAACTTTCCTCAACTAAAAGGCTTAGCGGGAGCTCTCCAAGAGGGAGCGGGACCTCCAGGGACCCGGGCAGGGCTAGGGGCAAGGCCCCTGACCTGAAAGACAAGGTGGGACTGAAGAGAAAAGTATCCCCCCCCCCTTCCCTCTTACCCACTTCAGGGATGGGGAGAATTGCTCTTCGTCTGCCCAAGGTGGCCTGCCTCTCTCCCTTAGTCTCACCCACTTTCTTTAAGAAAAAAAAAAGGATACTAATAAAACCGTGAATCCTTTCTCTTCCAAAGAACTTTAGGAACTGCTACTTCTTTTTTTATTTTTATTTTTAAGAAGTACAATGCATGTTATTGATAACTTCGGGTTGACAGCCTCCTGACTTGATGACAGGTAGAAATTGGGGATGAGCCCTCCCTTAAGAAAGAGTCATCAGTGTTCACCTATAGTTCAGTGGCTTATCCTTTAACATAGTGACATTGTGGGAAACCAGTCTGTTGCAAAGGTGGTTTTTCTTAAAAATCCCCTTCCCTCTGAAACTCCAGAATAGTCTGAAGCATACAAAATATCTAATTGTGCCAGAGAATGGAAGTCTTTAAGTTAGAATATTTCTTTCCCTTAAAGCAGACTGTGCTCAAAAGTTGCTGGGTGCTGCAGCTAATGTTTTGCCTGTTTGTACAATTGTATGATAATCAGGCGAGGAGGATAGGTTTTCCCCTCCCTCTCTCCCCCCTTTTAGGATTGTCTCCTCTTCTGCCACCTGGAGAGCATTTACCACCCACTTAAGGGTTATGCCCCCTGTGGTTTCTAATAAAACAGTGGCTGCTGTTCTCCTTAGTGGTATGGTATATAGCTATAGATTATAGAACATCTATTATAGAAATCTAAGGGTCTGCTTAAGTTATCATAATCAGGACAGTGAAATATCACAGGCTTAACTAGTGTCAAATCTAATAAAGTGAGAGTTGCCGTTCAGATGGGCCTAGATAATTCACCATGTCTGAGTAATGTCATCCATTGTTAAGAAACTGCCATGCTGGTTAGGTATTATGAGGCAATGGAAGGTCATAGAAGAAATAGTCTTAGATGTGCACTTTTTTTTGCTTTTATCTTCATCTTGTAGCCCAGTGAATAGTTAAGAATTGTTTTTTAAATAGAGAGTAACATTATATTAAAGACTATGGTATTTTGCACAATGAAAGCATATAAATAGTTGGTCACAATGGGGTTTTTTGGCCTGGATTTAACTATATTCCACTTCTGTTGGGCATCATTTTGTATTTTGAAATAAATACCATCTAATAGAGTACTTGCATTTTATGGATTGCCCAATCTGTGCGAATTATATACAGGGTTTAAGGTAAAAAATAATCACTGAAGAGAGATCTTATATTTGGTTGATAATGTGATTCTCAGACGTAAATCCCAATTCGTTGAATATTGGTTGCACAGTAATATATTTTAGAGGGGTTTTTCCCCTACTTTTATTTAAATACCGTAAAGTATTTAGGTAGATACTTGTGTAGCACAGTGGAAGAAACCAGGGATGTTAGATCGGGTAAAGGAAGGCACACAAAGGCTTCAGTAACAATAGCTCTTTATTGCAAGTCAAGTAAACATCCCCTTTAAAAGGGATCTGTCAGACCTCTTGACCAATGGGATTCGATCTCAGTTCCCGCCGGAACAGAGGACCTTGGTGGAAACCTCTATCAGTGTTTGTGGGGGTATCTAACACCCCTCCCCTCTAGGATAGATGAACCCAGCTGGTGACGTAGTCACGCAGGTAGGCGGGCTTTTGCGTAGTTCTGCCTGACCTGCGCAGTTCAGTGCGAGTGGTCCTTCGGACAAGTCGGACAGACTTGTTTGCTCTGTGGTTCTACCTGATGGAAACTCCTGGAACTTTCCACAGACCATGGCTGGAGCTTCTGGAGTTAACTCACTTGGAGCTCGCTACAGGCCTGCATCGAAGTCAGATAAGTCTTCCGAAATTCTCGGGCTTAAGTTGGACGTGGAGGGGTTGTTATTTTGTTTTGTGTGGTTTTGACTATCTCGTGCAGGAGTTACTGTTGGTTGCCTAAGTTTGGAATTGGAAATCTGGCTACGGAGTTGGTCAATGTGCCTTCTCCAATTTCTACCATCCTTGAGCTCTACTGTATACGATCGAGAAACGGTAATTCCGATTACTGTGGCAGGAATCCAAAACATTCCCCCTGTGTAGTTGTGTACATATACCGAATCACCTATGTTGAAGGATCGAACCTTGCTTGTGGAGTCGGGGAGTGATGTGGTAGAATAATTTGGATGTAGCCAGTCTAGGTGAGACCTTAGATGGCGGCCCATGAGAAGCTCAGAGGGGCTTATCCCAGTGGTAGCACTGGGTGTGATGTGTTGGATCAATAGGTAGTGGTCGATTCATGTCTGCCAATCGCCTGGGCCCATCCTAGCAAGGGCCTCCTTTGCAGATCTCACCATTCTCTCCACCTGACCATTGGATGCCTGATGGAATGGCGCGACCAGGGCATGCCTGATTTCCAGAGATGCTAGGAAGATCTCGAATGGTATGGCTGTGAATTGGGGGCCATTGTCAGAAACCAAGACATCAGGAAACCCGTGTGTGGAGAAAGTCTCCATAGTACTTTGATTACTGCTTCCGCTGTAGTTGAAGTCATTAGGACTACTTCTAACCATTTTGAGTAAGTATCCACAACTATGAAGAATGTTTAGCCATGTACCGGTCCAGCAAAATCAATGTGCACCCTGGAGCTTGTGGTCGCTCCCACTCTTTAGCGGGCGCTTCTGGGGGTGGTGGTCTGGATTCCTGACAGGGTGTGCATGTGGCCACCCATTCCTCGATCTCCCTGCCCATGTTAGGTCACCATACGTAACTCCTTGCCAGAAAGTTCATCTTGACTAATGCTTCTAGTACTGCATTGCACAGTTTGTTGGGAATAATTACTCAGTCCCCCCACAACAAACACCTTTTAATAACCGACAATTCATGACATTTGGCAAAATACATTTTGAAATCAGCTCCGACTGCCCCCTTGGGCCACCCCCTCCACACCCAGTTCATAATTTGCTTTATTTGTGGGTCCTTTTCAGAGTGGCGTGCCATGTCACTAGAGGAGACAGGTCCAGTTTCCAGGCAGTCAATGAGGAAGACCATTGTTTCAGGGGTGGGGTCGGCGAGAACTTCGGGCAGCAGCTCAAGGCATCCACGTGCCCTAAAGTGGAGCCGGGTTGGTGAATTAGGCGGTAGGAATAGGCAGCCAGGAAAATAGTCCACCTGTTCATTCGGGGGGATAATGATACTGGGGTGGGGTGATCCCCAGCCAGTAACCCCAACAAAGGCTTATGGTCTGTAACAAGTTCAAAATCCCGGCCAAAGAGGTATTCATGGAACCTTTTCATTCTGGCCACTGCAGCCAAAGCCTCGTGGTCCAATTGGCTGTAGTTCCGCTCTGCGGCGGACAATGTCCTGGAATAAAAAGCAATGGGGGCTTCGGTTCTGTTGGGCATGCGATGACTGAGGACAGCGCCGACACCAAAAGGAGAGGCGTTACATGTCAACACTAATGGCAGGGTCTGGCTATATTGTACAAGGAAAGAATCCACTGATAGAAGACGTTTTATTGCAGTAAATGCGGCAGTCTCAGCTTTGCCCCAGGACCATTTCACGTTCTTGGCTAGGAGGCAATGTAATGGTTCAGCAACGGTGGCTTTCTTTTTGAGAAAGACGCTGTAGAAATTAAGGAGCCCGAGGAACGCCTGCAGTTCGGTCTGATTGTGAAGTGTAGGAGAGTGCTTAATAGCTTTAATTTTTTGTGAGGTCGGGTGAATTCTAGACCCATCGATCAGATACCCAAGGAATTCGACTCTTGGTACATTAACTTGGTATTTTTCTTTTTTGAGGCAGATATCCTTGTCTCTAATTCTGGTCAAAACTTCTCATACGCATTTTAAAAGTTGCACCTCATTTGCAGCCGATACCAAGATGTCATCGAAATAGGGGACCACTTCTGGAATCCCCTGCAAAGTCGTTCCATAACGCTTTGGAACAGCCCAGGGGCGATACTAACACCAAATTGCAGGTGGTGGCATTTGAATGCACCCCTGTGCATCACAATGGTTTGGGCTTCCATGGTCGCGCCATCTACTGGCAATTGTTGGTATGCCTGCGCCATGTCCAATTTTGCAAAGATTTTTCCTGGGCCAAACGAATGTAGAAGGTGCTGTACAATGGGTATAGGGTATGTGCTTTGTTGTAACGCTTTATTAATTGTGCACTTATAGTCCGCGCAGATGCAGACAAACCTATCAGGCTTGACAGGTGTCACAATTGGTGTCTCCCAGTGTGCGTGATCGACTGGTTCTAAGATTCCCTGGCTCACAAGCTTGTCAATTTCTTTGTCTGTTTTAGGACAGAGAGCGAAAGGTACTCTCCTGGGTTTTAGCCTAATTGGGGCTATTGTGGGGTCCAAGCTAAAGGAAATTGGGGTTCCTTTGTATTTACCCAGACCAGTGCTGAAAACGTCCTCGAACTCCTTAAAGATGGGTTCAGCGCCGGTGCTGAAAACATCCTCGAATTCTTTAAAGATGGCTTCAGCGCCTTCGTCCCTCACGGAGTTGATTCCAATCACTTCCATCCCCAACACTTGGAACCAATCAAGCCCCAGGAGGCTTTGCAGGTTTCCACTGACCACTGTCACAGGGAGATTTCCGCTGAATCGTTTGTAGTTCACCCAGAAGGTGCCTTGATCCATGATGGGGACCTGGTTCCCCTGGTAGTCGCGCAG